CTTTCTTCTTTCCTTCCTTCCTTCTTTCTTTCTTCTCTCTCTCTCTCTCTCCTTCCTCCCTCCCTCCCTCCCTCCCTCCCTCCCTCCCTCCCTTCCTTCCTTCCTTCCTTCCTTCCTTCCTTCCTTCCTTCCTTCCTTCCTTCCTTCCTTCCTTCCTTCTTTCTTTTTGTAGAGACAGGGTTTCACCATGTTACCCAGACTGGTCTCAAACTCCTGGACTCAAACAATCCACCTGCCTGAGCCTCCAAATGTGCTGAGATTACAAGCGTGAGCCACCACACCCAGCCTGGAGTTTCTTTTATAAGGGCACTGATCTCATTCATAAGGGCTTCGGCCTCCTGACCTAATCACTTCCCACGAGACATATATGTGAATACCATCACGTTGCAGGTTAGGTTTCAACATACACACTTAGGGGGACACAAACACTCAGACCGTAGTTAGAGTGAAAGTCTGCCTCTCACCCCCATCACTACACACACTCCCTGCCTTAGTCTCACAGCCTTGGAATAGATTTTGTTTTCTTAGCACCTTTGTTAGTGAATAGTTGTGGGAAGACAACTCACTACATTTTAGGCTAAAATTAGACATTTGTTTCATTCACCAGCAGCCTCTTCCATCTGTCACTGTGAGAAAACTTAGCAGGACTTCACAGTCACATGAGTTCCATGGATTTCACCATCCCCTTAGGAACTTTTTTCAGACTCACACTTTATTCATCATTTCCTTCTCCCCACCCCCCTACTTTTCTCCATCTTCTTTAATCTTGGATTAATGTTATACATAAAAGAACCAAGCATTAATCTCTATCGCCACAGGTGGTGAGAACATAGTTCCTTTTTACAAATGTTTCAAAGTGGAAGATAATGAAAAATGCTAACAGTATAATTAAAGATAAAATAAAAGAAGACCGAAATAGATTCGAATTCTTATGAGACGGGGCCTCTGTGAAGCTTCATTAAGGTCTAATGTCTGGGATGTAACTTTAGAAAGAGCTGTCAGAAATTTTTTTTTCTTTCTTTTTCTTTTCTTTTCTTTTTTTCTTTCTTTCTTTTTTTCTTTTTTTTTTTTTTTGAGACGGAGTTTTGCTCTTGTTACCCAGGCTGGAGTGCAATGGCGCAATCTTGGCTCACCGCAACCTCTGCCTCCTGGGTTCAGGCAATTCTCCCGCCTCAGCCTCCTGAGTAGCTGGGATTACAGGTATGTGCCACCATGCCCAGCTAATTTTTTGTATTTTTTTTTAGTAGAGACAGGGTTTCACCAAGTTGACCAGGATGGTCCTGATCTCTTGACCTCGTGATCCACCTGCCTCGGCCTCCCAAAGTGCTGGGATTACAGACTTGAGCCACCGCGCCTGGCCTTTTCTTTCTTTTTTTGAGCCAGATTCTCACTCTGTTGCCAGGCTGGGGTACAGTGGTGAAATCTTGGCTCAGCCTCCTGGGTTCAAGCAATTGTCTTGCCTCAGCCTCCTGAGTAGCTGGGATTACAGGCGCATGCCACCACGCCCAGCTAATTTTTATATTTTTGGTAGAGAGGGGATTTCACCATGTTGGCGAGGCTGGTCTCCATCTTTGACCTTGTGATCCATCCACCTTGGCCTCCCAAAGTGCTGGGATTACAGGCGTGAGCCAGAGATTTTGCTTTTTTAAAATTGAGATTCAGGGGGTATATGTGCAGGTCTGTTACATGCATATGCTGTGAAATGCAGGAGCTTGGATTTCTATTGAACTTATCAGCCAAATATTGAACATAGTACTAAGTAGGAAGTTTTTCAACCCTCGCCCTCCACCAAACCTCCTCCTTTTTGAAGTTCCCAGTGTCTAGTGCTTCCACCTGTAAAGGATCTTTTTTTTTTTTGAGACAGAGTCTTACTCTGTTGCCCAGGTTTGAGTGCAGTGGTGCAATCTCAGCTCACTGCAACCTCCACCTCCTGGGTTCAAGCGATTCTCATGCCTCACTCTCCCTAATAGTTGGGATTACAGGTGTGCGTTACCACACCTGGCTAATTTTTGTATTTTTAGTAGAGACGAGGTTTCATCCTATTGGTCAGGCTGGTCTCAAACTCCTGACCTCAGGTGATCTGCCCACCCTGGCCATGGTGCCTGGTCTCCCTCTGAAGGAATTTTTAAGGGTGGGAGTCCACTAATCTCGATGGGTATGAGCAGAACTTGCTGCCTGATTCCTTTCCTCTAAAAGAAAACTGTGGCTTGCTTTTTAATTTTTTCTCTAAGTAATAAGAGATCTGTTATGTGAAGAAAACCAACATGTGACTGGGGTCATCCCTGGTGACCCTTATAAGCCAAAGGTGGGTAGAAGTGGAAGAGAAGACAGGGACCATAGCGCTAGGAAGCTGTGGGGAACTGTGGGAAGAATGGCTAAAGAACAGAAATCAAAACAAATAATCAAATAGGAAAAGTTTCTTAAAGGCCCAAAGACCATTTTCCATGTCACTTGTTTGAATATGGGGGTTGAGGGGACTGATGCGTTCAGGGAATCCCAGGATGAATTCCCTTTTCTATAAGATTATGCTTTGAGAGGTGGAGGTGGGTGGATCACAAGATCAGGAGTTTGAGACCAGCTTAGCCAACATGGTGAAACCCTGTGTCTACTAAAAATACAAAAATTAGCTGGGTGTGGTGGCATACGCCTATAATCCTAGCTACTCAGGAGGCTGAAGCAGGAGAATTGCTTGAACCTGGGAGGTGGAGGTTGCAGTGAGCTGAGATCATGCCACTGCATTCCATCCTGGAGGACAGAGCAAGACTCTGTCTCAGAAAAAAAAAAAAAAGATTATGCTAAGGGTAGCATGACCACATACACTCTATTGTCTAAACTGTTGTTATTAAGCAATTATGCTTACACAACAGTCATAAACCAAGACTGTCCTAAGTAAACTAGAATATAAAATCACTCTGGCTAGGAGTTACTTCAGCAGCCAATCCATTTTTTTTTTTTCCGAGACAGAGTCTCTCTCTGTTGCCCATGCTGGAGTTCAGTGGTACAATCTCTGCTCACGTCAACCTCCACCTTCCAGGTTGAAGCAATTCTCCTCCCTCTGCCTCCCAAGTAGCTGGGATTATAGGCGTGCACTACCATGGCCGGCTAATTTTTGCATTTTTTGTGGAGACAGGATTTCACCATGTTGGCCAGGCTAATCTGGAACTCCTGACCTCAAGTGATCCACCTCCTCTGCCTCCCGAAGTGCTGAGATTACAGGCATGAGCCACTGCATCCAGCCTCAGTCCTTTCTTGATTCACGCGGTACCCACAGTAATCAAAATGATGACAGTCACAGGGAACAGTCCTGCAAATGAGCAGGGCTTTGTGAGAACCATCTTACCAGGCAACTCCAGAGAGAGGCGGATGCAAACACAGAAAAATCATGGCAATATCTACCGCATTATTCTTGGAGGAGAGAAGATCATAATAATTCCAGAATCTGAAACTTTGAGGAGGCTGAGAATGTACCCAAAGGAGTTTTCACTCCAGAACACACATTATTGACCATTACTACTCTATTGCCTCTCGACAAAACCTTCTCTCATCTGTTTATATAAATTCTTTGCTCACACTGAGTAGTTTCTAGGGAGCTTTCCATGACTACCTCACTTCTTTTTATTGCTCCAGGCTTTGAAACCTTATTGCACCTACAGTTAGCAAGCACCATGTGATTCACATGTAATAATCTCATCTCCCGGGAAGAAAAGCTAGGGATTTTTATTTTGTGCCTAATACCATTTCCCAAATATAAAGGTCTTTAAAAATATCAGTATTTATAGATAGATGGATATAAGGATAGATAACACACACACACACACACACACACACACACACACACACACACACAATAAAGCAGACTGGTTTCATATATTAAAACTTGGTTTGCTAGCCTGAGTGTGGTGGCTCATGCCTCTAATCCCAGAGTGATGGGAGGCTGAGGGAGAATCACTTGAGCACAGGAGTTCCAGACTAGGCTGGACAACATATCAAGACCCCATCTCTACAAAAAGTTTAAAAATTAGCCATGTGTGGCTAGTTGTGTGAAGAAAACTCACATTTTAGGCTAAAGTCTGACATTCGTTTATTTGTCAGGAGGTGATATAAACGTCAGAATGATATAAATTTGTTTATTTATATCATGCAGGAGGCTGAGGTGGGAGAATCACCTGAGCCTAGAAGTTATTGGCTGCAGTGAACTATGATTGAGTCACTTTACTGCAGCCTGAGTGACAAAGTGAGATCCTGTGTTAGAAAAAGGAAAAATGTGGCGAACTTGTTCCATTTCTCTGCATCTTGCTAGCGGAAGAAAAGACACCAGATCTTGGCCACTTCCTATGCTTTAACTCTCAAAGTAGAATTTGTGTTACTCATATGCTGCCTGTACTTGAAAAGGTTTTTACTTTTTAATTTTAGGAAGTCTATTCATTATAATTAAAATCAACCAGCTGAGCTCATTTTAGAAAAAGACTTTTCATCATTTTGGTACAAGTTATTTTATTCTACAGCACTTACTTGTAAATTTTTTTAAGTAATAATAAAAAAGAAGTGGCCAGGTGCAGTGGCTCACACCTGTAATCCCAGCACTTTGGGAGGCTGAGGCAGGCAGATCACGAGGTAAGGAGATCGAGACTATCTTGGCTAACATGGTGAAACCCCATCTGTACTAAAAATTTTAAAAATTAGCTGGGCATGGTGTCATGTGCCTGTAATCCCAACTACTCAAGAGGCTGAAGCAGGAGAATTGCTTGAACCCAGGGGGTGGAGGTTACAGTGAGCCAAGGTTGTGCCACTGCACTCCAGCCTGGGCAACAGAGTGAAACTCTCTCTCTCAAAAAAAAAAAAAAAGAGGTCTATCAAAAATGACAAAATTAAGAGCTACACATCAAGCATAAATAACCTGAATTTGTCAAGTTAACATAAACATGATTGTAATGACAAATTAACTGCTAGGACCAAATCGAGAATTATTTAGATACTATCCAATAAATAACACAACGAAAGAGTTTTCCCAAAGATTTATTGAAGCAGAAACAAGTTGGTCAAATACTTGCTAGAAAAAAAAGCAGTTTTAATGATATTCAAAATACTTTTTAAAAAGTATCCTAGCACAAGATTTTTCTGTAAACTAGATTATGTTGTAAACTTTTTTCTAAATCTTTTAGGAGGGTCGGTTGTTAAGAACTAGAGCCTATTTCTATTCCAAATCTATCTTGCGCTCCTGAAAAACTGCAGAAAGGCACTTGAAAGCTGTTTCTTTAAGATATGGATTTTTTTTTGTTATTCTTGCTGGTAATATATTGCTCCACTGAGTGTGGGCAATTTTTATTCAAGGTCATCATGATGCTGAGAAGTTTCGTTGATAACCTGTTTTAAAAAAAAACAACAAAATAAATATAATGCCACATGCTAAAGATTAAATTATCCTCTATATCATGGCAGATAAAAATCTTGCTAAATATATATAATTTATTGTGCAAATTAGAAGGTTATGTTGGTTCTACAAGACTGAAAGCTAGGAGGGACAGACATACGAGACACTCTTGTACTAAAGGTAACATAAGTATCCGATGGAATGTTGTAACTTATAAATTCTTTTAAAAAAACTGTGTTTATGAAGAATAGTATAATGGTTGTACACAGCCAAGGTTAAAAGTAATTAAGACATATTAAAATATACAGCAAGCACATTTTAAATTTATGTGCAAGGGAAGATTTCATGAAGACTACAATAAATTGCAACCGTTTCTTTCCTGTCATGGGGGGGTAATAAACTAAACAATTATATGGTACATGCTTGTATTATATAGATTGGTTTAGGAATCTATACTTAAAGTATGAAGGTAGGAGGATGCCATATGTCCAGGATCAAAACATTTCTCATATTTAGGTAATCCACTGAAGCTGTTTCATGAAGCTGCTTTAGGAAGTAGCTTAAGGAAGCTTACTCCCACTTCCAATTGAGCACCAAAGCAAATCACTAATTTTGGAGTTCAGGAAGATTGCTATCTCAACTTCACATCCAGGAGCCAAATAATTAGTTGGCTGTGTGTACTCCTGGAAGGAGGAGCCTATTCTTTTTTTAGTAGGCATGAGTGAAACCCGAACCTCTCAAATTAGCTAGCTGTATCTGAGATGCGGATTCATTGATTAAAAAAGATACGAACTCCTGTCTGAGATTACTCTATTTTTTACTTAAAAGATACCAACCTGTCCATCTCTAGTTTCAACCGTCTTAATCAGAAGTGTCCTTTTTGAGTGTGTGTCAACCAGAGGGAGTGAATCCAGATTAGTTTCTAAATAAACAAACAGGCCCAAAATGAGTAAAAAAAATGAAATTTTTCTTAGAGAAACCAAGTAGCCATTTTATTGAAACAACTATGATTTGTGGGGAAGAGGGAGTTGTGTAAAGTGCTGCTCCCCAAATAATTTTAGAGCATTCTCTGTTTGCAAACCCAGGGCCTGACACAGTTACGCATCAGGATGAGATAGTACTTCCGGCAGGAAGAAGGAAAATGGAGTTTGCATTTAACTTAAAGCATAGAATGCAAGCATACTTGGGTATGAAAATTATAGATGCTGTACAGAATTTTCTCTTATATGGCATTTTTCTGACATGCTAAAAATAAATGAATGCATTGACATAAACACAATGGTCACAAGCTGCTGACATTTCTCATAAAGGGAAATAAAATGCTTACCCCTCAGGTTCAGGGAGGAAAAGTTTGGAAGAGGCAGAGAAATCCTATAAACAGATGAAGAAAAACAGTAAAATTGTTGGAAAATAACTTCATCCACAGAAACAAATTAATATACTTCTTGTTTTTGTCATGTAAGAAAATGTACTGCTGTAAGTCATAAACTAGGGATTTGCTTTGGAAGCATTTCCCCATGACTGGTCTTGTTAGTACATTTAAAATATTTTACTACAAGCATTTTCTCCACAGGAACATGAACAGGAGTTAGAAGAGTGAAGGCTTTGACAGAGTTGTGGGTTCAAATCCCAGCTCTGCTGTTGAATAACTTTTACTTCAGCAAGTCATTCACTCTCTTTCATCCCAAATTCCTCCTCTGCAAAAATGGAAAGTAGTTACCTGAAAGGAACTTCTAAAAATTAAGTGTGACGCTGTGCTTAGAGCCCAATGGTTCCTGCATCCAAGCCTGAGCTCCTACCTGCTCTCCTCGCCTTCCAGCAGCTTCCTGTAGGTGGCAATCTCAATGTCAAGGGCCATCTTAACATTGAGCAGGTCTTGGTATTCACGAAGGTGACGAGCCATTTCCTCCTTCATGTTCTGAATCTCATCCTGCAGGCGGCCAATAGTGTCTTGGTAGTTAGCAGCTTCGACGGCAAAGTTCTCTTCCATTTCACGCATCTGGCGTTCCAGGGACTCGTTCTGCAGGAGGTGAGAAAGGTTTCTGGTGTTATTGCTCAGAAAAACCCAGCTATTCCCAGAACCATTTAGTCTTCTTGCAATAATTTCCATTAGTGGCAAATGACAACTACTCTAGTCGTAGGCGGAGAATGCAAGTACCAACTCCTTCATATGAGAAGCAATGATATACACAAGCTAAAACATTCAAGAGCTCCATCAAGTCCTTTTTGAGTTTGTCGTGATAAGTCATTTTCTTTGCATTACCGTATAAATTTTTATTCACTCAACATTTTGTTCAGGCTTCGCCATTAGCATAGTCAGCAGAATGGGTCATTATTTCCCCTCTTTTACTGCAGGGTTGGTACTCACGGTTCCTTTAAGAGCATCCACTTCACAGGTGAGGGACTGCACCTGTCTCCGGTACTCATTGGACTCCTGCTTTGCCTGGCGTAGGGCATCATTGTTTCGGTTGGCAGCCTCGGAGAGGTCAGCAAACTGTCGGGGAGAAAACAGAAATGTACATTGCTCCCATTCAAGTCTTGACTCTCTTAGAAAAAAAAGATCATATTTCCCACTGAATGTCTTCCAGTATAGGCTTAAATTTCTGTTTTGAAAGCCAGAGAAAGAGCAGTGGAACACTGACATTACTATCTTCAGAGTTCACTCTACTGTACTCATTTAAACACAGTGGAGGTCAAAGTATGGCATTGGGGTTTACTTGGAGGCAAGGTTAAGAGGAAGGGAATCTGCTATTCTGAAGGAGGTGATATGGCCAGGAGTGGTGGCTTATGCCTGTAATCCCAGCATTTTGGGAGGCTGAGGCAGGCAGATCACCTGAAGTCAGGAGTTCAAGACCAGCCTGGCCAACATGGTGAAACCCCATCTCTACTAAAAATACAAAAATTAGTCGGGCATGGTGGTGCTCGCCTATGGTCCGAGCTACTTGGGAGGCTGAGGCAGGAGAATTGCTTGAACCCGGGAGGTGGAGGTTGCAGTGAGCCAAGATGATGCTACTGCACTCCAGCCTGGGCAGTAGAGTAAGACTCCATCTCAAAAATAAATAAATAAATGTGAGCAACAAGTCAAAGCCAGCTTTCAACTGGAGCTACAGGATAGGAATTACACACAGGAATGTTTTGAGAACTCAGTGCTTTTCTTCTGTGCAGGCCGCAGGGACTTGTTTCCTACCTTAGACTTGTACCATTCTTCTGCCTCCTGCAGGTTCTTGGCAGCCACACTTTCATACTGCTGACGTACGTCACGCAGGGCAGCCGTGAGGTCCGGCTTGGAAACGTCCACATCGATCTGGACATGCTGTTCCTGAATCTGAGCCTGCAGCTCCTGGATTTCCTGCAAAAAAAAAAAAAAAAAAAAAAAAGCAGATAGAAGGTCAGCTGTGCCAACTGTGGGGGTTGCCTTACCTTCATTCATTTCCCGAAAGACACTCTACTAACCTCTTCGTGTATTTTCTTCAAAAAGGCAATCTCTTCTTGCAAGGATTCCACTTTGCGTTCAAGGTCAAGACGTGCCAGAGACGCATTGTCAACATCCTATTTTGAACAGAGAAAAGACAGGACATGGAGAATGTAAAAGTCTATGGCTTCTCTCATTTATTCATCTTAGATTAACCATCTAAACCTAGTCTCCTTACTATAGAAAAGGTGTTGACAAATTTTACCACCCTTGAGTAAGTTTAGAAATCATTTAGTGCTATCATATGCTACGCTTTCTCCTGCTCACTAATAAATTTTAATCATGACCCCTTGTGTTTTACTCAAGGTGGTGATCAGACAATTTTAAAATAAATAAATGTCTACAAATGTGGTAAACTGTACGCAATCATGACTGAATCCACATTTTACCAATGACATTTTAAAATTACTTTTTAAGGCTCAGAGTAGTGGCTCATGCCTGTAATCAACAAAATCCAACCTGTATAGATCAGAGGTCAGCAAACTGCAGCCCGTGGCTGTCTGTTTTTGTAAATAAAGTTTTATTGAAGGCTGGGCATGGTGGCTCATGCTTGTTAATCCCAGCACTTTGGGAGCCAGAGGCAGGGGATCACCTGAGGTCAGGAGTTCGAGACCAGCCTGGCCAGCATGGTGAAACCCCATCTCTACTAAAAATACAAAAATTAGCTGGGTGTGCTGGCACACGCCTGTAGTCTCAGCTACTCAGGAGGTTGAGGCAGGATAATTTCTTCAACCTAGGAGGCGAAGGTTGCAGTGAGCCGAGATCATGCCATTGCACTCAAGCCTGGGTGACAGAGAAATAGTCTGTCTCAAAAAAGTTAATTTAATTTAATTACTTTTTAAATCTAGAAAATCTATGTCACAACATTTTTAAGATTTGTTTTGTAATTTCATGGAATAACATGATAATAGGCATGGACAAAATTTCACAACTTCATGTACACTTGAGCACATAAAGAACAGAAACTCATGCTTTAAGAGTTTTAGGTTTTTTTCTCCACTAGAATCTTCTGAAACTCATCCTTAGGCTCCAGAGCAAATATGTAGCCATCTGGCATCCATTGTACAAGGCTAGATTTATATTCAATAATAGCCCAATTCAGGAATATGGGCATTGCCTAAGATTCAGTTCAGGAAAAAATGGAAAAGACACGTAATTCTTAATGTATTTGCTTTGCTTTCTCTGATGGAGTTTTCTTCTAAAACTCCTTTGGCTCCTCTCATAAAGGCATGTCTTTTTCACTTGCTACTGTATCAGTTCAGTTAGCCTGTTTCTGAATCACTGACCAAGCTTGCAGATAATGAAACTACATGAATTTTTGCTGTCCTTCTATGTTTCCATTTGTAAAGGGCAACATTCCAAATCAGAATATGTACTTTTGCAACTAAGATTTTATTTTCTCTCTAAAGGATGCATGAGGATTGCTTATCTTGTCAGTAATTATATTTGGAGTTCAGTTTATACTCTTAGAGTATTAAACTGTTGAGACTTTTCTATCATCTTTGGGAAAAAATGAATGAAGAGTGGGTGATAAAAAGATCCAACTTAATGAAAACATTCATTTTTACTTGGTAAGCCCTAAAAAAGACATAACAAATATTTTACTAACCTCTCAAAAAAGATCAATAGCGTATTCTATTACATTGAAGAGAATGAGGAATTTTGCTTACATTAAAGAGAATGAGGAATTTTGATTAATCTCAAAACAGAGGGTCTTTTGTATTGATGTTGTTTTTTTGTTAACTCACTACTCTGCAGGGAACATTACAGGTATAATAATCAAAAACGATAAAGGACTAAAAGGAACCACGCATTGCTGTGATTAAATTAATTTGTTAAGTGTATTTCAGCTTCAGAATGTTATACTACACTATTCATCTGAGAGTGCTTTGCAGTTTATCCCAGTAAATATTCCAGGGAACAAAACTATAAACTATAATGGGGATCTTCTGGCTTTTGGATTCCAATGTTAAGTTAAAAATCGTGGAAGTTCATCTAACTTTGGTGAAAAAAATAAAGAAAACACGCACAAAAGTCCTGTATTTAAAAATTCAATTTTTCAGCCTTCGGTTTATTACTATTATTATTTTTTGGGGAGTACTATTATTATTATTATTACTTTTTATGCAGTACCCAATCAAGAAAGGTCTTTCAAAACATGAGGTATGCTTGTAGCTTTAAAAACTTTTCACATTACACACTCCACAAGTCTAGGCCAGATATTGGATAACGGATGTTAGCAAATACTTGTGACCAATTAGAACCGTGCTTACATCATTACATATTCAATAAGAATGTAGCCTGTTGCAAAGCTTCCCTGGGAACACAAAGACTCCTATTATTTCTGTCCAGAGCCACCACATTTGCCAGAATGTCTGTATCTACATTCCATAGTGAAGCCCATAGAAACCATTAATACCCCTTAGCCGAGGGGACAGATGGCTCTTTTCCACCCTTATTAGATCACAAAATAGTTGTGCATAGTGATACTTCCATCGAACTTAATGCCACAATAGAAGTTGCAAAGAAGAAAAGAAACTTGCTGGCTCGATTCCAGTTGAAAACTAAGTTTTCTTATCTTCCAACGCGTTTTCCATTTTAAACTGCAGGGCATAACTGTGCTTTTTGTGGCCTTGGAAAAATTAGACAACTTGACTTTGGCAAACTGCAATCTTAACACTGTAACCGTTTGAAACCAGAATGTTAATATGTTGCAAAACTGTGCAACATTTTGGAAACAAAGTAAAAAGTTAAAAGATTTTTCTTTATGTTCCAAGGAACTGCTTAAAAATCGTTCAAGGATTGCTTGAACCCGGGAAGTGTAGGTTGCGGTAGGCCGAGATCTCGCCACTGCACTCCAGCCTGGGTGACAGAGCGAGACTCCCCGCCTCTATCAAAAAAAAAAAAAAAAAAAAAAAAAATAAAGAAAGAAAGAGAGAGGGAGGGAGGGAGGGAGGGAGGGAGGGAGAGAGAAAAATCATTCAAGGGGTTTTATTAATATTTGCAATCTGTGGTCTTCCCGCCACTAGAGGGCCTAACGCGCAGCCCTGAAGTTTTGCACTTCTTAGACGTGGGTTAAGCAACTTTTAGAATTGCTTGTGGGTTGTTGGGTGGGGTCAGGCGGCTGCGAGTGGGAAGAGAATCTACAAACCTGTCTGAAAGATTGCAGGGTGCTCTCGGCTTCCTCTCTCTGAAGCATCTCCTCCTGCAATCTGAAAAGGTTTCGCATTAACCAAAAGGGAACTGGGAAACCGCCAGGGGCGGGGCGGCCACACCCAACCACCACGTCGCCGCGCCGCGCCACCAGAGCTTTTGCTCCACCTCTGCAACCAGCGCCTGCAGCTTTCATACCTGCTGCCTTGGCAGGTTTGATCGGGACCTTGGGCACCGCGCAGAGGGGCAATCACTGTCGGTCGCCGCACAGACCTGCAGGACAGCCCCGCCACCACCCCCCCTCGAGGGGCCATCCCTTTGTCTCGCTTCCTCCACCGCTGCTCCCTCCTTCCTCCTCCCGCCCGGTGACTGGCAGCCCGCCAGAAGGGGCAGGAAACTTTCTTAAAGTTTGGAGGACTCGCTCTCATTGTGCCCAAGGGCCTTCAACTGTACACAAAGTGGTAGTTTTAAAGAAATCTGTGACTTGAAACGGAGCATCCTTGAGCAATGCCTGGGGACAGAGGGGGAAATGCGAAATGCAAGGTCTGAGTTCTGGGCGGGGCTGCGCCTCCACAGCCACTGCTCCGCTCTTCACGGTACCCCTGGCTGGCCTCCCCCAGGCCACATCCCCCAGGGCGTGGCAGCCCTCTCGGGTGGGGGGGGCGTTCCCCTCTCCCTCCAGCCCCCTCCCGAGGTCCCACGACCTGCATGTGCGCAGCCTTACTTTTCCCGGAGGCGCATGATGTCTTCGGCCAGGTTGTCGCGCTCCACCTCGACTCGGGCTTTGTCGTTGGTGAGCTGGTCCACCTGTCGGCGCAGCTCCCGCATCTCCTCCTCGTAGAGGTCCCCCAGGCGCGACTTGCCCTGGCCCTTAAGCTGCTCGAGCTCGGCCAGCAGGATCTTATTCTGCTGCTCCAGGAAGCGCACCTTGTCGATGTAGTTTGCGAAGCGGTCATTCAGCTCCTGCAGCTCCACCTTCTCGTTGGTGCGGGTGTTCTTGAACTCGGTGTTGATGGCGTCGGCCAGCGAGAAGTCCACCGAGTCCTGCAGCAGTCGCACCCCGGGAACGCTGCTCCGCAGGCGCACTGCCGAGGAGCGCGTGGCATACACGCCGCCCGGAGACGAGGCGTAGAGGCTGCGGCTGGTGCTGGGGCGCAGCGCGCTGCCCAGGCTGTAGGTGCGGGTGGACGTGGTCACGTAGCTCCGGCTGGAGCTCGGCCGGCTCGCGGTGCCCGGGCCGCCGAACATCCTGCGGTAGGAGGACGAAGACACGGACCTGGTGGACATGGCTGCGGAGGGTGGCGATGGGCTGGGCAGCGGCGGTGGCGCGGACTGGCTCCCGGAGAGAGGCGAGCGAGGGCGCGGTGGGTGTGGGTGGTGGGAGCGCGGCTGCGTCTCTGGCGCGGGGATCTCGGAGCGAGAGTGGCAGAGGACGGGACCCCGCCGCGGGAGCTGTTTTTATAACCCCTGGTGGGGACGAGGGTCCCCTCCCACTGCCATCCCAGCCACGGAGCGCGCCAGCCAATAGGGACCCGGCAAGAAGCTGGGAGGGTGGGCGGGTTGGGTGGGGGCGCCCTCGAGCCTTCCTCCTCCCTGGCTGGGGACTGGGCACGGTCCCGTTACTTCAGCGCTGGGCTGGGACTTTTGGGGGCTTTCCGGATGCTGGTCAGAGCTGGGCTCAACGTAGGGGACTGAAAGGGCGGGGTCGCGTGGTGAAGGAGTGGGGATTCGCCCAGGACTGGACCAGAGGGGTCCGGTGGTACCGTGCCAAAGGGGCGTGGGAGGAGACGCGCAGCGGCCTCGGGGCTGCGGTCAGGTGGGGGAGACCCGCGGGCAAAGGAGCTGGAAGAATGGGGAGTAAGGGATCAGGCAGATCTGAAGGCTCGGAGAAAGAAACAAAGAGCGCCGGAGATTGGAACGCGGGGTGGGGGCGCCCAGCGCAGGAACGCAGGGCTGGGGCCTCGCGCGGCCTCGCTCACCGCCCGCTTGGAAAGGGGGGCTGCTCCAGCCTGCACGTCTGTCCATCGACTTGCACTGGCGGGGGAATGCTGGGGGAAGGGGAGGAACTGTTGAGTGACCTAACGGGCTCAGTCCAGCTTCGGACGGCGGGAGTTGCGAGGGGCGGTGGCAGAGGAAAGCCCGAGGGAGAGGGGTGGGGTCACTGAGTCACCGGCGGTGACTCACCACGCCTTGCTATCCCGCGGATTGAGGGCTTCTAGCGGTTTAGGGGAAACCGTTAGAACAGATTGACTCAAGTCTCCGCGGACTCCGCGCGCACTGCTGGTTCTCAGTCCTACCAACTTAGAGCTGGGCCACCGCTTTGTTGTGTGCGTTCGGGCCCTGGGGGGACAAGAGTGCCCCTAAGTTCTTAAGAACTCGCTAAAGCCTGGCTTTGCTCGAGTATGTGGACTTCTCCTTAGCAAGAAACTTCTGCAGCTTTTGGAGAGGCGCCCTACGCGGGCCTCCGGGATCATATTGCACCGGGGAGGCTTTTCTTGCAGAGTCCCCGCCCTCCTCCCTCCGGTCTCCGCTCGCTCTTCCCCCTCCCCCCAATGAAACCACACCCAACTTTTTAAACAAGATCTGAAGATCCTGGGTGAAAGAGGAAACTCGACGTCCGTAGTTTCAAAATTGAACTCCGTGATCAGTGGTTTTTACGCTGGTGGAAGTCATTAAAGGTATATTTTGAGCCAATTGAAGAATTAAGGTGTTGCTTAAAAACCCCAATTTGATTAATGAGTTCAAATGAAAGGTAATTATATAACACACATGACGGAATGTTTGGCGGCAGTAGATTTATGTGTTAATTTTAGGACAGCAAGGCACAGTGCAGTGATTTCTCTGGGAAATGTCACAGGTCCGGTTTTCCAAAAGAATTCGTGCAATTGACCTTGGGGTGAGGGGGATAAAACTGTCTACGGAGCAAAAAACTTCGCGTCCAAGATATGGAGGGAGAGTTCAGATTCGGTCACCTTAACCTTTCTAGGGAAATCACTCAACTCAAGGGCTGTTGTTTCGATATTAGTAATGAGCAGAACTGAGTACTAACCCGCCAAGGGAGATAAAGGGAGGCTAGGTAAATCAGTCTTCTTGTGATTCAATAGCAATTGAAAAAGCACAGGGTTTTTCAGTATTTTGATTTATGGTATACTGAAAGGATTAACTACAGAACCACTGTAAAATTGATTCTTCAGTGGATAGGAGAAAAAAAGTATTTCCCTCTTTTTTTTTTTTTCCGGTGGGGGTAGGGGGTACTGCAGGTTACCTGGTGTTTAAGGAAAATAATTTAGAGGCAAATGAAGAGTTTATTCTGGCTTCTTTGGACAAGCCTCTTTTAGGCTATATGTTGTTTACCTTATCCCAGTTCACTCTTGCAAATGGTGCTGCTAAGGTGGAATTACAGGACTCTACCGCCCAGCTCACCTGCCTTGGCTTTCTTTTATTCTGTCTTTCATTGGGAGGCTGCAGGTCACTCCCCAAGAGCATTCCTGGGGCTGGGTGCCCTGGAGGACAAGCCTGTGCTCTGAGTTACCATCTTGCTTTCTGAGAGCCTTTTATTCAAGCCACTGCTCAGCAAATGTCACCATTGTGAGTTTGCCTGGAACTCTTAGAATGAGAAAAGTGATCTCCTTATGGGAGGAAGAGAGTGTAGAACTCACTGCTACATGCAATGCCAATCCCAGGGCAATGTGGTGGCACTGTCAGGACGCTTGCTGACTGACTCACTATGGAAAAGGAGGACAAGGCATTGGTGGGGTGTGGCACTGCTCCCTGCTGGTGCCCATAGCCGATTCCTCAGGGCTGTGGTGATGGCTCCTGGAATGGGCACTGGTCTTCTTCATCATTTCAGGGATAGGTAGCTGTTCCTTCTAACCTGTCCCCATTCTGAAGTCTCAGGGCTGTGATAAGCTGCTCTGTCGCCACAGACATATGTTTGTTTGATGCATATAAAATGTGTAAAAGTGTAGATGTTCTGTAATCCCAGCATTTTGGGAGACCAAAGCAAGAGGATTGCTTGAGATCAGGAGTTTGTGCCAGCCTAGGCAGCATAGTGAGACCCTATCTCTATTTAAAAACAAATTAGCCAGACGTGGTTGTGCACATCTGTGGTCCCAGCTACTTGGGAGACTGAGGTGGCAGGATTGCTTGAGCCTTGGAAATTGAGGCTGCAGTGGGCCGTGCACATCACAGCAGTCCACCCTGGGCAACAGAGTGAGAAACTGTCTTAAAATAAAGTGTATGTGTGTACTATACACACACAACACATATGCATACACACATATACGGTGTTCAGTGTTCCCTTCCTATTAGAAAATACCATCACTTTTTGTGAACTGTAAGAGAAGTGAAAGCTACAAAAACACTTTCACTCATTCATGTAGAATTCATAAGGTTTAAGAATACCTTTCGTTCTGAGGTAAGATATACAGTGTCTCAATCAATGGGAGATAGTCATCAGTCAGGGAGATCAGTGAATCTGAACTCACATCCTTGAGTGAGACAACCCAGCTGCTCTCTATGCTACCCATGTTCTTATGTATCTTTTGGGTACACAGAGACAGCTTTCCTGGGTTTTGTGTTTACTTTTTGATTGCTATGAAAACCTGTCTCAGAAGTATTTTTAAGTGCTAGACTAGGAAGCTGCTTTCCACACTGCATGATGCAAGTTGCATATAAATAAAGACATGGGGTGGTACATTTCATAGGCCAGGGATAAACACTACCACATCTAAATTACCACCAGTGCTTTTGGAATTTGCAAGCTGTCATGATATCAGTTGAGTTGGGTGACTTAAACTGACAGACCAGCCAGCCGTGTGGACAGAAGCTTAGTGGCCTACGGAGGCTTTGGGAAAGCTGGCTAGCTATGCCAAGAGAACAGCATCTAACAGGACTGTTTGGATGGAATGTTAGAAGAAGGAGTGTACAGTGAGAGGGTGAAAACCTCTCACTAAATGCCATGGAAATGCAAATAATAATAATAAATAGTATAATATGTGCTTTAAATTTGATGCCAACTGGATGACCAGCACTGTGTATGTGTTTAATTTAACTTAATGCTCTCACACCCTCCTGCAAGAGAGACTTGATCCATTTCACTAACGAAGAGTCTAAGATGCAGGCTAGCAATTTCCTTGTGGTTGTATGACTAGCAGGGGAGGGAAAAAGGGGACAAGAATTTGAATGGAGGCCTTTCTGACTCTAAATGCACTTCTCTTTTCTGTTTACCTTGATAACAACATTTTGCTTACTATCGACCAGTTCAATTCAGAAACATTATGTTCCAGGCACTGAAGAGTTGAGATGATCAACACAGATCTTGCTTCAAAGGGACAGATTTTTAGAGGAATTTGGCAGACAGCTACAACACCACGTTTTATGTTATTCAAATGACGTAACAGGGATCATAACATACAAGAAGGGAGATTTGTTTTGACTTGCATTCTAAAAACTTACTTTCATTTGTGAGTTAAACATTTTCACCTAGATTCCATTTTGTCTCTTCAGAGGAATCACATGCAAGATTAGGTTTAGCTCATCTCACACCATAAAACCCATGAACCACGGTCGCTTCCCCTCCCAGCTTCCCTGTCTAGTCAGAGCAATACAGCAAAATAACAAGATTGGAAACTTTCACCCTTGCCACTTCCTTAATCTTTGATCTCAGATCCAATGAGTATCATGTCCCACTGCTTCCTGGATCCACTCCTCTGTTATGTTGCTGTCACTCAGTTCCAAGCCATTTCATGCCTCCTTCCTGCAATACTGAAATTGGCTTCTGTTCCTCCATGCTTTCTTTTCTCCCACCAATGCATCTCACCTCTTTTTCTTAAAAACTTCATTATAATATATTTGTATTATATATTTAGAGGCAAAGGCTTGCTCTGCTGCCCAGGCTGGAGTGCAGTGGCACAATCATAGCTCACTGCAGCCTCGAACTCCTGAGCTCAAGCATTCCTACTGCCTCAGCCTCCCAAGAAGCTAGGATTATACGTGTGTGCCACCCATGCCCAGGTAACTGTTTATTTATTTTTTTTTTTAGAGCCAGGATCTTGCTATGTTGCTCAAGCTGGTAACTCCTGGACTCAAGCAATCCTCCAGCATTGGCCTCCCAAAATGTTGGGATTATGTGCATGAGCATCTACACTTGGCCAAAAACATCATTCTGTAGATGTCCTGGAGGGAATTGCTCATTACCTCATTAGAATGTAAGCTCCGTAAGGGCAAGGAGGGATTTTTCTCTCTTTTGTTCACCATTCTATCTTCAGTGGCTAGAGGAAAGCCAGGCACATCTGTTGAATGTATGAATTAATATGTGAGTAGTTCTTAGAAGGAAAGAATGGTGTGGGGGCTAATATTTGCTGGTGCTTATTATGTTTAAGCATTATGCTAGTCACTTGAGACATGACAATGTTTAATCTTCACAAGGTATCATGATACACAACTTTCATTCATTTACTGCAAACATAATTATTGAATATTTGCCATGTGCCAGGCACTCTGGTAGACGTTGAGGAAGGGATCAATACAGGTATGGCCCAAAGCCGCTTGGAATGTAGAGTTGAGTCTGTGTATATGTATGTGATACAGAGAGACAATACTTGTAAAGGAACAAACAAAATAATTGCAAGTGGTGATAAAGACTGTGAGGGAAAAACAGAAATTCTGCTGCAGAGGAGGTTGAGGATCAGAGCTAACTGGTGGCCTTTGGAAGCTATGGTAAGTATGCATATCCATCCTCATTTTCCACTGTTCCTCCCAGGCAGCAATTTCAGTAGAACCCTAAGCTCCTCATTCCATGAACATAGTATATTTTCCCCCCATGCTGAAGTGGGGATGTGGTGGTTTTTCATTGTATTCCATTCAACAGATACATGTATTCATATTTTTTCTTGCTCTGCCTGCAGTGATTTTTAGTATATTCAGGTAAGTAAGATAATTTAATGCCTCTAGGGCTCTCATAGCCTTGTGTAAGGATAAGCAAATAAAGAGTTGGAATACACAGCAGAATGTAGTGAGTGCTGTTGCACAGAAAGGATAAAATCCTGAAGAGTTTAGATGAAGAAATAGTCATTGCAGCAGTATTCACAATAACAAAGACATGAAATCAACTCAGGTGCCCATTAACAGTGGATTGGATAAAGAAAATGTGATACATATACACTGTGGAATACTACATAAGCATAAAAAAGAATGAAATCATGTCCTTTGCAGCAACATGGAGACAATTAGAAATCATTATCCTAAGCAAATTAATGCAGAGACAGAAAACCAATTACTGCATGTTCTCACTTCTAAGTGGGAGCTAAACATCGAGTATGCACAGACACAAAGATGGAAACAGTAAACACTAGGGATTCCAAAAAGTGGAAGGGAGGGGGGAGGCAGGGGTTGAAAGACCACCTATTGAGTACTATGTTCACTATTTGGGGAACAGGATGATTAGAAGCCTAAACCTCAGTATCACACAATATGCCCATGTAACAAACGTGCACAGGTACCCCAAATCTTTTTTTTTTTTTTTTTGAGATGGAATCTCGCTCTGTTGCCCAGGCTGGAGTGCAGTGGTGTGATCTTGGCTCACTGCATCCTCTGCCTCCCAGATCAAAGCAATTCTCTTGCCTCAGCCTCCCAGTAGTGGGAACTATGCCTGGCTAATTTTTTGTATTTTTAGTAGAGACCGGGTATCACCATGTTGGCCAGGATGGTCTTGATCTCCTGACCTCATGATGCACCCACCTCGGCCCCCTGAAGTGCTGAGATTACAGGTGTGAGCCACCACACCTGGCCAAATCAAAATTTTTTGAAAAAACTATAATACTATACTAAAAAATAAGCTAAATATTGTTGAAAAAAACAAAGGATCATACCTACCTGGGGGAGATCAGAAAATATTGTTAGAAAAGATAGTATTTGAGGAATGAGCACAATTTCTACAGCTTATCATAGTAGAGAAAGGATGCTGTAGTGCTGACCAAATGGTATAAGCAAAAACTGTGTGGGTGACAGAGTGCTGGGGACATTTAGGGAACAGGAATAATCCCAGGGTTGCTGGATTATGGAGTATTTGTAGGGGAGAAAGGAACTGAAAATCAACATGGAACCATGCGTTGGACGAGTAAATGCCACGAAGAGGAGTTGATAATTAATGTGGTGGGTAGTGGGAATGCACTGTGAATTTCACGTAGGAGAAAGACATGCTTGTAGCTGTATGTTAGGGGTGGAGAATGAGTCAAATAGGCTTATTTGAGGGCTGCTTGAGGTAGATCAAGTGAATGGTGAAGGGAGCCTGACGCAGAGGTGGTTTTAGCAATTGTGATTTTTAAGGGCAAGGGGATAAGCAAAACCCAGTGAGCTCTGAGCCTTCTGAACAGGGTAATTAAAAGAATAGAGGCAGCTGGGCAGGGTGGCTCATGCTTGTAATTTCAGCTCTTTGGGAGGCTGACGCGGGCGGATTACAAGGTCAAGGAATGGAGACCATCCTAGCCAACATGGTGAAACCCCATCTCTACTAAAAATACAACAACAACAACAAAATTAGCTGGGTGTGGTGGCACATGCCTGTAATCCCAGCTACTCAGGAGTCTGAGGCAGGAGAATCACTTGAACCTGGGAGGTGGAGGTTGCAGTGAGCCGAGATTGTACCACTGCACTCCAGCCTGGGAGACAGAGTGAGACTCGGTCTTAAAAAAAAAAAAAAAGAAAGAAAAAGGAAAAGAATAGATGCATTCCAGACAGAAATGATTATTTGGAAAGTTAATTTGCATTGAAAGACAGTTCATTCAGATCCCTTAACCTGGAAGTATCTTCCCTTCTCTAGTCTACATAAATTACAGCCTCCTGAAGGTGAGCAATAACTGGATAGTGTGGTTTTACATTATCCAGCAGTGGTCCCCAACCTTTTTGGCACCAGGGACTGATTCCATGGAAGACAATTTTTCCATGGACCAGGCGGAACTAATGGATGCAGGATGATTCAAGCACATTACATTTATTGTGCACTTTATTTCTGTTATTATTATACTGTAATATATAATGAAATAATCACACAACTCACCATAATGTAAAATCAGTAGGAGTCCTGAGCTTGTTGTTCTGCAATTATTTGACCCCATCTGGGGGTGATGGGAGACAGTGACAGTCATCAGGCATTGCATTCTCATAAAGAGCACACAACCTGGGTCCCTGGCATGCGCAGTTCACAATGGGGTTCACACTTCTATGAGAATCTAATGCCCTCCAACAGTTATCAGACCATGACCCAGGGTCTACAGCACTTCTAAGCACTTCTAATCTGTTCACTTAAGGGAATACAGTTGATGGTCTTATATTGTCATTTAGCTGCTTTGAGTGAGTTAGTCTTGTTCTGACAGCTAGTATAAAACACGAACTTCACAGGATTCTCTAAAACAGTTTTTAGCATCAGAAGGGAAAGAAAAACCATAAAGCCACTTCCAGGAAGGTATCTTTGAACACTTGAGGGGGCAGACACAGATGACGGTTCCCTGTAGACTATCAGTAATTTTTAACTCCATCAAGGTCTAATTCACAGTCTGTAACAAGGAAAGAGAAGATGGTAATGATGTAGGGGGAAGACGAGATTTTAATTAACATATAGAGGAGAAATCTAGTGCAAAAATGAATTCCAGCTGATGACAGACAAAGAAATAAAGCTAGATTTTCAGTATTAGTTCACTTGATCAAAAAACAGTAACAACCAGAAACAAACAAACAAAACCCATCCATCCAGTTATAAAAACCTCATGTCCTTTGAAAGATCCCTAAATGACTCATCCCAGTTTAGTTACTGGCTGAGTGAGACTATCGTAAGTAAACTAGCAGGTATTTGCCCGGTGGCCTATAATATTGCTTTTGCCATTTTTTTAAGGGAGAGAGAAAAAGGTCATGCCACAGCTAGAAAATCTGCCAAGTGCAATTGACATCTTGGGAATTTACTCTCCCTGCTTTGAGGAGGTCATGTAGTTCCCAAGTGGTTGACGTTTTTTCCTCAAGATATTTAGGTAAGGGACCTAATAATAATTTTGTTTAATAGCACACTTTTCTTTTTCTTTTTAAACTTTTATTTTAGGTTCAAGGGTTCTTGTGCAGGTTTGTTATATAGGTAAATTTGTGTCACGTGGGTTTGTTGTACAGATAATTTCATCACCCAGGTACTAAGCCTAGTGTCCAATAGTTATTTTTTCTGCTTCTCTCCCTCCTCCCACCCTCCACCCTCAAGTAGGCCCCAGTGTTGTTCCCCTCTTCGTGTCCATGTGTTCTCATCACTTAGCTTCCACTTATAAGTGAGAACATGCAGTATTTGCTTTTCTGTTCCTGTATGAGTTTGCCAAGGATGATGGTCTCCAGCTCCATCCATGTTCCTGCAAAGGACATGATGTCAGTTTGTTTGTTTGTTTTTTGAGACGGAGTCTCACTGTCACCCGGGTTGGACTGCAGTGGCATGATCTGAGCTCATTGCAACCTCCACCTCCCAGGTTCAAACAGTTCTCACTGTCACCCAGGTTGGAGTTGAGTGGCACGATCTCGGCTCACTGCAACCTCTGCCTCCCATTTGCAAGCAATTCTCCTGCCTCACCCTCCGGAGTAGCTGGGATTACAGGCACATGCCACCATGCCTGGCTAATTTTTGTATTTTAATAGAGATGGGGTTTCATCATGTTGGCCAGGCTGGTTTCGAACTCCTGACCTCAGCAATCTACCCACCTCTGCCTCCCGAAGTGCTGGGATTACAGGTGTGAGCCACAGCTCCTGGCTGATGTCGTTCTTTTTTACGGTGGCATTGTATTTCATGGTGTATATATACCACATTTGCCTTAGCCAGTGTACTATTGATAAGCATATCAATTGATTAATTTTCTTTTAAAAAATGGAGAAATGTTTAACATATATATTTTATTTGCCTTTATGGTAACCTATGACATTGGAAGGGGATTACTGGTCATTATATAGTCATAATCTCTTTCCTGTAAATCTGGGAAATATAACGGAGTTCCATCTTATGTATTTCAAAACTGATTAATGAATTGACCAATGAATTGAGCAATATTTCCAAAAATGAGCAATTGGGAGATACTTTAACTCTGGCATATCACAGTCACACAGCCAGTGACATGATTTTCTTCAGCACATTAAATATTATATTTAATTGTGAATATGTCTGATAAACTCAGAGTTTAAAATAAATCTCTCAAGCTTTGGTTTCTGGGTATGATGACAAAGACCAATATGATTTGCAGAGATCGGAAATGAAAATCAAAGGCAAACCCAGGAAAAAAAAACACGAAGTAACCCCAGATGGAACCATGTAGCAAGTGAAAGGAAATATAAAATGACAAAATGGTGATACGCAAGGATGAAAAGATGAGGAAATTCATTAAAATTACCATAGATAAAAGTAAAGAAAGACCATTGAGAGTCAACTGTAGCCGAATAAAGGGTTTGGCAGCCCTCTTAGTAATTCTACCATGATGATTTCTAAACTGCTGAATAAGGTTTTCTGTTTCTAATTAGCTAAGAACTAGAAATATGTTCTCTAATGTGACTCATATGAATATGTGGCATAAGGACAAAAATTTCTGTGGAACTCGAGCTTAATATAGATCAAATACATGTTCTTTGTAACATAAATTATGAGAAATTGTTCTGATACAGTATTATAATTTCCTTGAATGGCATCTCTAGAACTTTAGACAGGTGTCATAGAATATACTGCAGAGATGTTTATATGTTTGATTAGGGTATTTTTTTTTTTTTTTTTTTTTTTTTGAGACAGAGTCTCGCTCTGTCACCCGGGCTGGAGTGCAGTGGCACTGTCTTGGCTCCAAACTCTGCCTCCCAGGTTCAAGCGATTCTCTTGCCTCAGCCTCCCGAGTAGCTGGGATTACACGCGCCCACCACCACACCTGGCTAATGTTGTATTTTTAGTAGAGATGGAGTTTCACCACATTGGCCAGGCTGGTCTGGAACTCCTGTCCTCAAGTGATCCACCCACCTTGGCCTCCCAAAGTTTTGAAATTACAGGCGTGAGCCACCGCACCAAGCCAGCACTTCTCTTTTGCGAATTCTGGGTTGGCTTTCACCATCCTTGACTAATACTAGGACTTTGAGTGAACGCAAAACAATGATAGCCAGGTACACTTTGATATCATTGCTAAAACCGGATAGAAAGGCTAACAGTGACCATAATGATCGCCTTCATATAGGTGCCTACGATATATAAAAGCAATCAGGTACTGCTCATGGGTTAACTTATTTAATCCACACAACTGCTCACCTTGACATATAAAGAAACTGAGGCACAGAGAAGGTAAGTAGCTTATTCAAGATCAGCCAGCCAAGAAGTGGCAGACTTGAACACAGGACTTCTCGCTGCAGTCCCTAAACTCTAAACCTCACTGCACTGTGGTACTCTATATGCCATGGTGATTTTGTACTACTGTTGGGGATGTCCCCACGCTTCTTTAGCATGGTTATCATGATGTTCATCACTTTGTTCTACTTTTTTCCTGTTCTGATGCAGCAGCAGAACCCATTTTGATCTGGAGAATATGGTGCCCTCAATGAATCATCAGGAAGTCCATAAACAGTTTTGGGGGTTTTCTATGGAGATCTCATTTCTTAATTCTGACTCAACCCACCAGAATGAATGGATAATTATGGCATTTGAATCTTGCATACAGATAAGTGAATAAAAATGCTTTGCCCCATTTGCTAGAGAAAAAGAAATAAAACTGACCGCAGTTTTGGAACATATTACTTCTATCAGTAAAAACAGCTTCTCCCTATACTTACTGTCTATTAGTTTGATTTTTTTAGGGAGATTTATTAATATTTTAGTCCTTCATGGTACTGCTATTGTGCAATCCAAGAACTATGGGGGAGTTTCTGGAAATGAGAGGAAGCTCAGGGAATTATAGGCAAGCAAGATTCTCAAGACCAAACAGAAAGGCATTACTGATAATACACGTGTGCCTACTAGCCAGTTTTTAAATTTTCTTGTTTAATGCTAATCTCATTGCTTTTGTGTATCAGATTTTCCTAAGTAGTGCTCATCAGTACCAGGTTTATTTTAAAATAGAGCATGTTTAATGTACTTCACATGTCTGCAAGGGGAACAGCAGCAAGTACCACAGTCGCATGGTATATATAAGGGAAAAAGAAGGCATATACGTGTTAAAAAGCCTGATGAAATCCTAATTCAGTAGGGGCAAATTACTTCATAGATTGGATTATTTTGAAAAGAACTAGCAAAATCCATTTTTTGATATATTTTGACTTTTTTTTATGAGACAGGATCTCACAATGTCACCCAGGCTAGAATACAGTGACACCATCACAGCTCATGGTAGCCTTGACCTCCCGAGCTCAAGTGATCCTCCTACCTCAGCCTCTTGAGTAGCTGGGACTACAGGCACATGCCACCATGCCCAGATAATTTTTTAAATATATTTTGTAGAGAAAGGGTTTTGCCATGTTTCCCAGGCTAGTCTCAAACTCAGAGCTCCAGTGATCCCTCCTCAGCCTCCCAAAGTCTTGGGATTACAGGCATGAGCCACTGCACCTGCCTGGCCTGTATTTTGAGTCTTTATATGTGCCGGTTCCCTGCTAGGTGCTAAGGACACAGAAATGAATACCACCCCTGCCTTGCTCTCAGCCGGCTCCCAATCTGCTCCTCCTTTCTCTGTTAAATCATTTTGCCTTCAAGTCTTGCATAATGTGGTGGCCACATTGAGACCCAGTTGAATAGTTTCACAATAACTCCCTTCAGTCAGAGGGCCTTGGTGAAATAACTTTGACTTTTACTCTGAAATCCATGGAAATGCAAAGTTTACTGTTTTGTTCTCCTTGATAAAATATAGCATAATAACTAGTTGCTGGGTTACTACCTAAAACACAGACTCCAAACTGCAGCCGGGAAGAGCAGTTAGCAATTAAGTAAAGGAAATGACTATGACTAGTGGGTTTGAAACCCGACACACAGCCCATATCCGTCTTAGCATAGAGAGGCATTGATGTTACTTAGGCAACTTTTATCACTAAGGAAGTAGTTTTGGTGACTCATGCTCATACAGAGTAACTTATTTCAAGTCCTGGGTGTTCAGTAACCTTACCATTATGCTTCTGTTTTCTTCTTTTTGGACTCAGACAGCAAAGCTCCATTTGGATGACATAGATTTATCACTTGGTAGTGTACCATGTATTGGCTGTCCCACATTTTGAAATTTAATGGACTCATGGTGATCAGAATAAAAGGTCAGTATTTCCTAAAATATATTAATATGTTAAAGGTAGAACTAACATCCTATTTTCCAAGCAGAAATATTATCATATTAACATATCTCATTAAATGTCTTAGTTGACATTTCTTGCCAATTATTTTTTATTTAATGTAACAATGCTGTTTTAAATACTAGTCATTATTTTAATAACTAAAATGAAATACTGAAGAATTTTAAACTATGACATAACATGCCTTATTTTTTCCCCAAACAGATGAAAAATGGAATTATAATCTCTACTGAGGGTTGCTACTACAAGAGGAAGGAATCCTAAGGAAATTCACTGGCCAGGTTCTTGGTTCAAATTTTACAGCCCACCTACTTGATGGCCCAACAGCATTTACTTATTGACAGTTGACATTTTTCTTCTGTGTTAAAAATAGCAGAGAAGTCGTGGAAATATTAGTTAATTAAAAGAGTTATAGGTTGCTAATGTGTTTGGAGAGCAATATGGAAAAAGTTACTGTTGACAGAAAAAGCAAGCCACAAGCCAAGGACCTAGGCTGGCTTCTGGGGCAGTGCAGGAGCATCGTGGCTTGGGCTCCAGGGTTTGCTGGGAACCTTGGAGGTGCCAGCTTCCAGGACTTACCTGAATCACTAGTACACCTTTTGTCCTAATTCTAGAAATCATGCCATAAATCTCAAAATTTGGATGGTGTTACTTGAGCTGTTTTTATTTTGCTTTCCATTGAGCCCTTTTCTGTTTTTAATTTTGTGGCTGGAAAAGCTTGAAAAAGGCAATGAGTCGTGACAATATTTCTTTTCTTCTCCAGATAGAAGTCTTCGATGTGAGGCCCAGGCATCGGGTATCATGTGTGTGATTCACGAGCCTTGGCATCTGAACGCTTTTCTGGAAGGACCCATTAAGACAACATGTTGGGGATGTACTAGTGAAGTGATTCTCAAAATGTGGTACTCAGACCTGTAGCATCAGCATCACCTGAAAATCTGTTAGAAAGTCCAGCTGCTAATCCCCACTTTAGATCAACTAAATCTGAAACTCTGGGAGTAGGTGGGGTCCAGCAATTTGTGTTTTTACAAGACTTACTAGGTGATTCTGAGAACCACTGTGCTGGTGAATTGTTCCTGTCTGTGGCCACAGAGAATACAAAAAGTATAGGGTTGGAAGATGGGGAAATTGATGAGTGTTCACTTATGAGGAAATGGAGAATAGACAGAAAAGCACGAGTTAACTTTTGGAATTCAAAAAAAGAAGCAATTTGTAAAAGCCAGGAATTTGATTTGCAGGACTAATTGCTTGCAGAATCTTTGCTTTCTCAGAGAGGGGCAATCCAGATCACTAGGTTACCGTGAAATATATTGGTATGGTTCAAAAATTCTAGAATAATCTCACTAGTGGGAAAAGGCATACCTTTCCATATTAGGACAAAACTTCATATCAGGTTTGTAAAATCCTGTAAGATTCTTGTATCATATTGTCGTGGCCAACTTGTTTCTCTGGAGACCCCAGTTTCTACATCTGAAAACCATATGCATTCCTGCTCAGCATGAATTATCTCACTGGATGAAGCGAGAGATTCAGGATGTGTAAGAGCATTTGTGAAGCATTTAAATTACCAAGAAATGGGAAGTATAAAGATCAAGAATGATTAATATAACGACTGATGGTAAAGAGGTATTTAGAAGTTGCTACAAAAAATGAGTTGCTTATTTCAGTCTCTCTTTGCTATATCTGCCTTTTGAGTGCTGACTCCGTCATGTATTCATTACTTGATTTTAAATGAATCACGTTTTTTAAAGCTTTTAATCTGTTTCCTCAACAAAAATATAGTATTAATAATATTTACTCATAGAATTGTTGTGAGAATAAAATAGATTCAATTGGCTTTCCAAAAAATATGGAAATACAGTTTCAAAGAATAAAGCAATACCATTTTTGGTTACACTAGTGCTGTGACTTTTATTTTATGTCTTGGTTGAGGAATCCTAAAGGACTGTTGACATAATGACATCATCCAGGGGTTTGGAATAAGAGTATACATCAGCAAGTTTTCTGATTATAAAAAGTAGCTATGTTTACTTTTCTGTTAATTCTTCAGTGGAATGCTTCAATTTTCTCATGCAATGGGGGAGATCCATTATTAAGAGCTCTGTTTTATTAAAGAAAGCAAGTCTGGTGGCTCCTGCCTATAATCTCAGCACTTTGAGAGGGTGAAGTGGGAGGATCACTTGAGCCCACAAGTTCAAGACCAGCCTGGGCAACACAGCAACACCCCATCTCTATGAAATTTTTTAAAAATTTAGCTGGGCCTGGTGTTGTCTGCCTGTAGTAACAGCTACTCAGGAGGCTGAGGAGGGAGGATCACTTAAGCACTGGAGCACTAGGCTGCAGTGAGCAATAAGCTATAATCATGCCACCGTACTCCAGTCTGCAAGACAGGGCAGGACACTGTTTCAAAAAAAAAAAGGCAAATTGGTACTTTGTATCCTCTGAACTGAGAAAACACATTTCACTCATTCTTTCAGGGAAAGAAGTGGGACTCTGGAGTCAGAGTACCCAAGCTAAATTTCTCAGCTCCTCTGCTTGCTAATTATGCTACCTTGGAAGAGGCTCATTTTCTTGGAGAATTGCTTGAACCCAGTAGGCGGAGGTTGTGGTGAGCTGAGATCATGCCATTGCACTCCAGTCCGGGTAACAACAGCAAAACTCCATCTCAAAAAAAAAATGGAGGTGATAGTAACAGACAGTTGTATGTGCATGAAATGTATATAAAATACATAATCAATTGTCTGGCCTAGAGTAAATACTCAATAAATGTTGGTGGTGGTTGATGATATTGTTTAACTGTGGCGTAAACAGGAGAAAAAGGAACCTGTGTCCAAAAACCAAGGGCAGGAAGGAACAGGAAGACAAGAGAGCAGTTGATAAATGATCATTTTACAAATAAAAATTCATGCAGCTCCTATGACTTTTCCAGTCATTTATTAAAACCAAACCATTCTCTGATCACTTCTAATGAGAAAAGTGATCACAGTAATTTATGATGCTCACGTCTATATAACTTTCAAAATTTCAATCTTGCCTGAGAGTTAACATCTTCCTTCCCCTGCCTTGACTGTGCCTTTGGAAAGGGAAGTCCTGGGTTTCTCACTCTCCCTACTTAGGTGCCTCCTTTCTCCTTCCTCATTTTGCTAAGTTTTCTTGCTGCTGCAGTGTTAGAGCTCAAAGAGGGAAAGAGGTGCAGGAGATAAGAACATTCTTACATGACAAGGGCTGTTGGTGGCCCTTAAAGCTGGCCCTTTTTCTAGTAGGTGCTTCTTTGGGGTTTTCTTATCTCTGGGAATTAACCTCTCTCTCTCTCTCTCTCTCTCTCTCTCTCTCTCTCTCTCTCTCTCTCTCTCTCTCTCTCTCTCAAAGCTTCCCTGAGAAAGGAATGCACTTGTGTTCTGCTTCTCTGTGACTGCTGCCACAGCCCCTCAGAGTCATTCAGTGGTATACTCCTTGTTCCTTTTTGCACAACTCTATTTTTCTTGTGGGCGATCCCTTGAACAGGGCTTAAGACAGCTTGCTTTCTTGTATGCCTCTGATTTATCCAAGGGAGTTACTTTGCCTCCCCAAACGTGAAGGTTATAGGGTTACATTTTAAAGTCTCTGCGTGGTTCTCTGAAGCTCCTTGTCTCAGGCTTGAAGTGAGAGGCAGACAGCCCCTATGGCATGTTGATGACTTTCTCCAAAGACCTTCTCTTTGTCTTCAAGAGTCTTTAACTCTTTTCTGCCTTCAACATGAGCATATGATTGTAAGAATCATGTATTTCTGCAACCCTTCCTTTGAAAAATTTGCATTATACTTCTGTATTCCACTTTGGAATATGTTTCTAGTGTTTGGGTACCTTAGGCAAAATGCCCTTCTTTTTTTTCTTTTTGAGAGACAGGGTCTCATTAGTCATCCAGGCTGGAGTGCAGTGGTGCAATGCTAGCTCCCTGCAGCTTCAAACTCCTTGGCTCAAGTGATCCTCCTGCCTCAGCCTCCTGAGCAGCTGGGACTACAGGCACACACCCCCACACCTGGCTAATTAAATTTTTTTGTTTTGTTTTGTTTAAAGGCTGGGCTTTAACTTCTGGCCTCAGGGGATCCTGCTGCCTTGGCTTCCTGAAACATTGGGATTGTAGACATGAGCCACTGCACTGCCATGGCCAAAATGTGGTCTTTAGCACCATATTAAAGGCAAAAGGCGGGAATAAATCACTTTGTGGATGCCCTGACTTTACAGACCATCATTCTCTAGGAGATGGGGCTGTCAGGGAGAAGATCATTTACATACACAGGGCTGGTAATTTTTGTTTTCTTTTTTTGAGACAAACTCTTGTTGCCCAGGCTGGAGTGCCATGGCCGGATCTCAGCTCACTGCAACCTCTGCCTCCCAGGTTCAAGCAATTCTCCTGCCTCAGCCTCCGGAGTAGCTGAAACTATAGGCATGCACCATCATGCCCAGCTATTTTTTTGTATTTTAAGTAAAGACGGGGTTTCACCATGTTGGCCAGGCTTCTTTCGAACTCCTGACTTCAGGGGATCTCCCCACCTTGGCCTCCCAAAGTGCTGGATTACAGGCATGAGCCACTGCGCCCATCCAGTTGTGACTTTTATGGTACTTGGTCTAATCACAAAATAGAGCTTTAAAGGTGAGTGATTTTTGGAATGTTTATATTTAGTATTTTCATCATAGGCAGAATTTTGAAAGAGTGCTTATCTGAGGGCTGATATATTATTGTTTTGGGAGCTAAAATGTGTTTAAAAGATAACGCATAAAATATAACATAAATATCAAATACAAGTTGTAAGATGATTCCAGATTCCCATGTATATTGAAATACATCAGCCTTAAGACAAATTGAACAAAATGTATATGTATTTTGTTTAAATTGTTATTTTTTGCACTTCAGGCATAAATATTTTTAAATATGAAAACTCCCACATAAACATATGTGTACAACTCAGCTGCGTCAAAAATGCCTGTGACTGCCTTGGAGATGAATAGGTAGGCACAGTGGCTCATGCCTGTGATCCCAGCACTTTGGGAGACCCAGGCGGGCATATCACGAGGTCAGGAAATCGAGACCATCCTAGCCAACATGGTGAAACCCGGTCTCTACTAAAATTAAAAAAAAAAAAAATTAGCCAGGCATGGTGGTGTGCGCCTGTAGTCCCAGCTACTAGGGAGACTGAGGCAGGAAAAACGCTTGAACCTGGGAGGTGGAGATTACAGTGAGCCGAGATCACACTGTTGCACTCCAGCCTGGGCAACAGAGCGAGACTCAGTCTCAAAAACAAAAACAAAAAAGACATTCAACAACTTAATTTTTTTTTTTTTTGGAAGGGGGAAGATGGAATCAAGGTTAACAGAAGAAAATGTCTTTTAATTTTTGTATACTTTTGTAATTTGTTTTACCTCTGGTAATTAGCATGTATTATTTTTTAAATTCAGAAAAATAAAGTCAGCATTTAAAAATGGTATATCTCTTTGATGTATTTAATGAAGTACAGTAGTGACAATGATAACATATTAGGCGAAAAAGAGCAAGGTATAAAACATATGCAATCAGACTCTGATTTGGGTAAAATACAATTAGTTCGAAGACTATGGGGAAGCCACATCAAAATGTTAGCTATGGCTGTGCACAGTGGCTCACGCCTGTAATCCCAGCACTTTGGGAGGCCAAGAAGGGCAGATCAGTTGAGGTCAGGAGTTTGAGACCAGCCTGACCAACATGGTGAAATCCTGTCTCTACTAAAAATATAAAAATTAGCCAGGTGTGGTGGTGCATGCCTATAGTCCCAGCTACTTAGGAGGCTGAGGCAGGAGAATCACTTGAACCCAGGAGGCAGAGGTTGCAGTGAGCTCAGATTGTGTCACTGCATGAGTATTTTACCATTAGCAAAATAGAGAAAAAATGATCAGAAGAGAGACTCTTGAAGTTCTATTGGGATTTCAGTACTTCGGGCTTTTCTAATGTTTGTTTAAGTCCCTTTCACTTTAGGTGCTAATCAAAAATGTATTTTCCAAATAATAATGCCTCATCTCTCTAAGGAATGGGTGATATTTAAACTGCTTTTTGATTTTAAAACTCTGAATGCTACAAAGATATATAAATAATGCTGTTTGTTGCTTTCTTTTTCTATCCTGTTCTAGGAGTTGGTCCTAAAATGAAAGAGTTTAAAAAAATAACATGTAGATTCCTGACATTCTTTCCTAACCAGAATCATGTCTAACTCCTAATACGAAATTCTTCCTCAAAATATATACTAACTCCCTTTCGTTTTTTTATTTGATGCCTTCCAGCCTATTTTTTTCCTCAAAAAAAAAAAACAAACTGGTGTTATCTTCCTAATTCCCTTCCTTTAAAAATATGGTTGTGTGATTTGTAAATAAATGTGTTGACCTGCAGAATATGAACTTATGTGACATTGAGCAAATGACATGAAGTGTTCTACTTTTTATTTGTAAAAAAAAAAAAAGAAATGAGCCGGGCGCGGTGGCTCACACCTATAATTCCAGCACTTTGGGAGGCCGAGGTGGGTGGATCACGAGGTCAAGAGATCGAGACCATCCTGGTCAACAAGGTGAAACTCCATCTCTATTAAAAATACAAAAATTAGCTGGGCATGGTGGTGCGCGCCTGTAGTCCCAGCTACTTGGGAGGCTGAGGCAGGAGAATTGCTTGAACCCAGAAGGCGGAGGTTGCGGTGAGCCGAGATCGCGCCATTGCACTCCAATCTGGGGGTAACAACAGTGAAACTCTGTCTCAAAAAAAAGAAAAGCTGATAGGTCTAAAATGGGTTGATAAGCATTTTAAAGATTTATAAAGTTATTTGAAATGTACAAGTCATTCTTGTGTTATTGATATTTTTCTATTAGTCAAACATACTTTTTCTGTCTTTTGGAA